GTACAAGAGCACTGCCGCCTACCCCCCACATTCCTAGCCATCCGCTATCTACCCCACTATTTCTGCACCGAGCCGACGTTAAGGCCGCTGGTCTTTACCGCCCTCATCGTTTGGCTGGTGTTCTTATTCTCTACTCTGGGAATCAGTGCTTCCGACTTCTTCACTCCAAACCTCGCCACAATCGCGCAGCTGCTCGGCTTGGATGAAAACGTAGCCGGGGTTACATTCTTAGCCTTCGGCAATGGCAGTCCGGACGTCTTCTCTACGTTCTCCGCCATGCGCGCCGACTCGGGAAGCCTGGCGATAGGCGAATTGCTTGGTGCTGCATCGTTCATCGTTTCGTGCGTGGTCGGTTCCATGTGTATCATAAAGCCATTCCAACTCCACCGCCCAATTTATTTCCTTCGCGATGTTGGCTTTATGTTCGCAGCCGTCTCACTATTGCTGGTGATATTGTGGGATGGAAGTATTCACTTCTGGGAGGCCGCTGTGATGATTGTGCTCTACGTTATATACGTAGCTGTGGTGGTAATTGGAAGCTGGTTGGAACGGAGGTCAGAACGCGAGAGAGCGCGTGAGGCTATGATACGCTCAGAGTTCGACATCTCGAGTCCATTACAAGAGCGCTATACCGACTATCGTGAGTGCCTGATTCATCTTCAACTTTCTCGTGGTCCTCACGTCTTCGCAGCGAGCGCCTCAACCTCCCAGTCGCCAAATCTGGTAGCTCCATCCCCCACTCGAGCCCGCGCCATTTCAGCCCCAGGAGCACCGCCGAGACTGCAGACCGACCTCCCGCGACGTTCCTACTCGCGGACGCCGTCTCCGTCTCCGTCCCCTTCATATGGGGCTATGCCATCGTTTTCCCTTGTTGGTGCTCTGGAGTTCCGGCAGGTCGTAGCATCATTGCAAAACGAAGCTGCTGGCTCGTCCCTTCATATCTTCGACAGTCCCTACACCCCGTATGCCGGCGGCCATTATAATTCGTTTCGGTCAAGGTCACGCACCCTGAGCCGCGAGATAGATCCTTGGGACGCTGCACTTGGGTTGCCCCTTGACGAGCGTTCCCGGCCACGACTGGTGGTCACCCCTGCCAACCGCGCAGACACGCTGACCGAGGAGCCGGACGAGATGGATGGGAGCACCATCGACGGTGGGAGTCATTCTCGGGGAAATTCCGTGCCCTCGATTTCACGAACACCGGCATCTCCCACTGACACGGATGCCGACACGGAATCTCAAAATTTCCAACCTCCAACGCAACGGCAACGCATCTCGTTTGCTTTTGAGCGCATCTACCACACACTCTTCCCCTCTCTCCAGCGCTTCCGCGGTAAAACTGTCCTCGGTCAGATTGCTTCGGTGTTTGCTGCACCGGCTGTCATGCTCCTCACGCTAACGTTGCCGGTCGTTGTCACACCATACCAATCTCACCACCATTCCCGTGAGAAGACACCGGGTGAAGAGCCCAACCTCATTGACTTTGAGGAGGAAGGAATCGAGCGAGTCCTCATTGCGGAGGAGGAAGTCGAAGAAGAAATGCACGGAATGTTGTACAATAAATGGCTAACGGCTGCTCAGTGTACTTTCGGCCCACTATTCTGTGCCGCGGTATTGTTTGGTACGCCCACTTTCTTTCAGTCGTTTGTATTCTGAAAAATTGCAGGCGGAAACAAACACCAGCTGTGGGCGCTGCTTTCCGCCGGAATTGTTGGCTTTGCTGCCTCAGTTCTTGTCGCGTTTTTCGGAAAGAATGGCGAGCACCCGTCATTCCGCATGACCCGATGTTCGATAGGCTTCATCGTCGCCGTCGTATGGATCATGGCCATCGCCGATGAGGTGGTCAAAGTGCTGCAGGTATGGTCGAACCGGTTTCCGTATCATAAATATATGTATCTGACCGGGGACTGTGTAGACCTTTGGATTCATCTTTGGGCTGTCCGATGCGATCATTGGCTTGACCATTTTCGCAGTTGGCAATTCCCTCGCAGACCTTGTCGCCAATATGAGCGTGGCGGTGAGTGTTGCCATTCAAGGGTCTCGCCAGTATACTCATCATATCTTCTAGGTGTTTGCTCCAATCATGGGCTTCTCTGCGTGCTTCGGAGGGCCCATGCTGAACATTCTGCTCGGCGTCGGAATATCGGGATCGTACATCACTCGCAATACCGGACAGCCGTACGAGCTGCAATTCGGAAGTACCCTGCTGGTCAGCACCATCGGGCTTCTTATTCTCCTCGCGGTGACCCTCATTGTGGTACCGCTGAACAATTACAACCTGACACGGACTTGGGGAATAATCCTCATTGGCTCGTATACACTGATAATGGCCATCAACGTCTTTGTCGAGGTAAAACATATAAATTAGCGTCTCCTCGGACTGTATAGCAATATGTAGGATAATAGACATTGTTATTTTGTGGAACGAGGATGACATCGCGGTAGGCGGAACGGCAAACAATTGACAACACTTCCAACACTTCTAAGCGGCTACTGCCATGTCGGACGAAGCTGCCGCTCCAGAAATCCAGATAAATGTTAAAGGTGGTCTCTCCTTCGACGTGCCCTGCGACTCTCTTATTGAAACACACCAGGCCCGAGCGAATTGAAGCTCCAGATCACGATAACCACCGATAAAACCGTCCTTGAACTCAAGCAGGCTATCGCGGAGAAATCAGATGTGGAGGCCGAAAGGCAACGCCTCATTTACTCTGGTGTGCCCAGTCTATACCTCTATGCATTCGACCATTGACGCGTTGAACCCAGGGCGAGTTTTGAAGGTGAACGCTCGGCGAGATTTGAGGTACCTCAGGATGCTTATGAATGCTTGCAGGACGAAGATTCATTGTCTGTGTACAAGATCCAGTCGACCCATACCATTCATATGGTCAAGGGTGCCGTGCGCTCTGGTGGTGCATCGACGTCAGCGCAGCCCGCCGCGCCACAACAGCTACCACAGATGCAAACGGGTCAAAACCCGCACGATCCGTTAACCCTGCTCAATAGTCACGCAGGTTTTGGTGCAATGGCCGGCTTGAATCCTTTTGCAGACATGGGCTTGAACCAGAATGATCCCAATATGGTATGGTTAACCTACCGGAACCCGCAACCCCACTAACGTCTTTCCAGTTCCAAGGGATGATGAACAACCCGCAGTTTCTGCAGCAAATGTCCACCATGATGTCAAACCCCGCAATTATGGACCAAATAATTGCCTCCAACCCGCAAATGGCGGGGATGGGACCGGAGGCGCGCGCATTGATGCAGAGTGACCATTTTAGGCAGATGGTGTACGTCTCAACTCTCCGATGTTCCCTCGAAGATCTAACCCTCCCCTAGATCGAGCCCTGAAAACCTGCAACGGATGCTCCAGATGGCGTCAATGTTCAACGGTGGGATGGGTGGAGGTGCCAATGCGTTCCCTGCGCCTGGGATCCCGGGTTCCACGCCTTCTGCGAATACTCCTGCGGCTGCCCCCGCACCCCCGGCCTTTCCGAACATGTTCGGAGCTCCCGGCGGTGCTCCCCGCGCCCCTGCCTTCGACCCAGCGCTACTTGCTCAGCTGATGGGCGGAGCCCCTCCCCCCTCCTTCCCTGCGGCTGGAGCAGGTACTGGTGTACCACCGGCTAACCAAATGGACCCTGCCGCGATGGCTCAACTCTTTGGCGGGTTTGGTGCCGCCCCCCCACCGCCCGCAGATGCCCGGCCGCCGGAGGAGAGATTTCAGGTCCAGCTGCAGGTTTGTCTCGTCCTTCTGGCTCTCCATCTACGATTAACACCGTCGCAGCAATTGCAGGACATGGGATTCACCAACGCATCGCAGAACGTGCGCGCTCTTCTTGCCACGGGTGGAAATGTGCATTCTGCCATCGAATATATCCTCGGTGGAGGCGGCCTCTAAGTAAGTGAACCGTCCATCTGAATCTGAGGCTGCCATTGACCGATCAGCTGGTGTAGTCATGTAGAATATTGTTGATGTATCACCCCCTCTTGCAAGTACATTATCTTAAATTTGCCGCCCAATACCCGCTCAGCCATTTGCCTGGCTCGAACAGGCGAGTCGAGCACCAAGTCGCTTGTTCGAGCCAGGCAACTTGAAATTTCGCGCTGCCAGAGTTAGTAGGTGCACTTGGGCTACTTCACTATGTTGTTCGACGTGTGCACGTTCTTCCCTTCCTTGTCTTGACCGCTCAACCCCTCGGTCATGCGAAGATAATCCTTGATTTAGCTGGACTTGGAATCAAATAGGTGTTTCCGAAGCTTTGTGCTGGCGAATGGTCCGCCTCCCCGTGGCCTCGCTCTCTTTGTCCATTATGCAGCGTCCTGACGCACCGACCGCGTCTGCACCACGGCATCTGAGTCTCGTCCAACTGGTCCCTCTGCAGCGTCCCGGAAACCCTCTCAAGTCCCCCCGCAATACCGCGGGTATGACGCCAGCGGCTCGGCACCGTCCACCACGAAAAAAAGGAATGGAATCCACGGACGCTGGCATTCATTCGATCAACGTCAACAATTCCTTCTCCTCCAGTACCAATTCACCATACCAAAGTTTAGTCTCTGCCACATTGAACGAAGATGGATAGCCGAGCTCAGCCCACTGGCAAGAAGCATAAAACCCACGATTCGATGGACTCGGGCGAGTCCGGTGAGCCAGTCCGGTGAGCCAGTCAAGACGAAGCGTAAGATCAAAAAGGCCGTCGCTCTCATTTCGTCTCGTTTCGATGCGACTGAACAGCACAAGAGCGTCCAAGGGCACAACGAGAATTGTCAACCGTTGGAAGTCTTCAGTGAGCTATATTTCTGACATCGGTGTCCGCATAAGCTCACTTCCCGTCAAAGAAATACGGATGTCGCGTCAGACTCGTTCAACGCCAAACCCGAGATGGAAGCAGGACTTGACATATCTTCCAGTGTTTCGAGGTAAACACAAGGCGTATTAGGGTCAAGAGAGAACCGATACTGCCCCTGTTACCGCATTGCAGGGAGGTCTCTTCATCAATCCGACTTTAGCTCAGTTGGAAGAGCATCAGACTGTAATTGGATAACCCGATATCTGGTGGTCGCCTGTTCGAACCAGGCAAGTCGGATATTTTTTGCTAAAATACGCTAAGGCCGAAAGGGGTCGGGACTTTGTGCATTTTGTTCGAGGAAGTGCATTTTCGAATAACAGGGTAACAGCTGGAGATATTGAGGTTGGAAAGTGGCGAAACCGACGCGATGGCGGCAAAAAGCAACAGCAAAACAAACTGCAGAGGAACTGGAGACAGAAATTTACCTGTACTTATGTCATGTCATGTCCATTGAGCGTTCGGCCAAGGTTGCATTTCTGAAACGGAACGGAAGGGATTCATTGACTCCAAACTCCAGCTAAATATTATTCGGGACAAACCGTGCCAACGATAAGTAGTGAGGTATTCAAGAAAATTAGTAGCAAACTCCAGGTAAAATCCGCGATCCGCAAAATGAAGTATCCAATGATATATCGTGAGTGGGTCGTTATAGGTATTCATAAAAATCAAAAGAGAGTGAAAGGATACTTTACATCACAACACACCACTTCCCCTTCTTGTCCTCGCTCTGCTGGTGTTGGGTTTCGGTGGTTTCGGTTGTGGGAGAAGGTATCGAAGGGGGGAGGGTGGGGGAAGTGGTTTTCGGGGAAGTGAATTCGCCTTGAGCAATGTCCAGAGACGCTCTTCCTTGGGGGAGTTTCGAAAACCAGCCTCCAGGGAAGAAAAGTGACGATGCCGTCGATTCCAGCCTGGAACGAGGTGAGATAGGTAGTTCATCCGGGTAGGCGTCGGCTTCTTCTGCGGCGTCTGGGGTCCTAGCAGAAACATCAACATATGGTCAAAGGGAGACGAATACTGCGGAACGTACTTGGAAGTATCGACCATGAGTGGGAACGCTTGCGGCTTCGGTTCAGCGGGGAGTGGGACTACGGAAGCGACCGGGGTAACCTCGTTGACTGGGTCTTCACCCAAAATTTCGACATCGGCTGGGGGAATCGCGGCAGCTTCATGGGTAATGGAAGGACTTTCGATGAGGACAGCGGGCACAGGTTCGCTTTCCGCTGGTGCATCGGTCATTGATGGAGGATTCAGTTCAACACTCGTCGCATCATCGGCCGTGGTCGAGGGGAAAGGCTCGAGTTCGGCGAGGGGAGGTACGTCCGAAGAGGCTGCTTGAACCGGAGCATTCCCCTCTGCGGTAGTTTGCACAAGCAGCGGCCCAGCTTCTTCTGTGTTATCGACGGCGTCGCTCGCTGAATCCATAGTGTCCTCAACAACCGACGGTTCATCAACCAACGCAGGCTGAGCAGACTCGGGCGAGGATTCTGCGATTGCTTCGGCCGCCGCTGGTCCGACATCAGAGGATTCCCCACTTGGCCCCAGGTTCGCCATCGAATAGAGTGTAGGCTCAGACTTGGCCGACACAGTCTCAGGCAAGTCGGTGGGAGCGTGGGGAACGGGGACTAGAGTGTCCTCGGCTGCCGTTGGAGCAGGCTCCTCAGAGTCTGGGGCAAAGGTGGGTTCGTCTGCAGCGGGGGATTCGTCTTCTTCCGTTGTTGTTTCTTGTTCGGTGGCGGGGTCAGAACTAAGGACAGCGACAGTCGGAGGAGACGATTCGACATGGTCCTCCAACGCGACCACCGCATCCTCGTTCTCTGCTGCTGCAACGGCGACCGGAATGGCGTCTTGAACCAGCGTCGCGTTAAGATCGGCAGTTTCGGCCGATTCGGCGATGGATTCCGCGGGGGCAGCTTCATCGACCGGCTCGGGGACCTCGTCTGGCGACTGGAACGGGTCGTCGGGGGAAATGTCAAGAGCAGTTGATGCCGGCGTTGTTGCGGTTGCCTGCTCTTTGTTGGAAGATGATTCCTCGGCAGGGAGCATATGAGGCGCCTCTTCGATAGCCGTCGTCGACGAATTGGAAGCAAGTACTTCCACAGCCTCAACATGTTCAGCGGATGATTCCTCTACAGGGAGATCCAATGCGGCGGATATTTCCACGTCGGTAACGGCGATTGGTTCCGCCACCTCGATGTCTTCAGCGGAACTCTCTTCTACCAGGGGCTCCTCCGCAGTCACGGTAGAGGCCTCAACTTCTGCGATGAGCACCGGCTCCGCCACGACTTCATCCGAGTCTTCCTCAATGGCTCCGATCGGTGCAACAGAGGGATCTGTTCTCGAGACCTCGTCCACGACCGCAGCTTCAACGTCCGCGGGCTCAGAAGGCGGAACAGTTGCATCCTGTTCGGATTCGGGGGTGATTTCCTCTGGGACTGGAACGGCGTCCGTGTCAAGCACATTGAGCGCTTCAGCCGAGGACTCCACCACAGTAGCAGCAGGCTCAATGCCGGGGTTGATCTCCTCCGGGAGCGCAAACTCGGAGACAGGGTATACTGCTGCCACATCCTGCTCTGACGGCTCTGCGTGTTTGCCCTCGGCGGGCGCAGAGTCCGTCAACTCGGTCGAGACAGGGTGAGGACTACCTTGGACAGAGACAGAGTAGGATGGAGTCCAGGGAGAGCTTGCCCTCGGCGGATCAAGCGGTGCCTCCAAAGTAGATACATCGACATCGACCGTCGGCTACTCGAATGCATAAGTACAACGCGGGAACCGAACGTAATCACTCGCCTTGACCAAATCTTCTTCCTCCGATGTAAACATTTCGGGGCGGGGAGGAGGAACGGGAATGGGGGCGTCGCCTTCCCAGCCTTGTTGAGTTACCGAGTACGACGGCGTCCAAGGCGACCGAGGCCGCTCAGGCTCCGACGGTACAGCCGTCAAGAGCGTCTGACTCAAAGGTTAAAAATTGCTACGAGCAAGTCGTGATCCTTACCTCGAGGTCTGGACGTTCGGAAGGCATTTCGTCGACTTGTGGAACATCGTCGAATACAATGGCTGAGGAGAGCTGAGAATGGGTGCTCGACACCCCAGTTTCCTGTTTGTGGACTTTTAATTAAGATATATTGAATATGATGCCTTCTTACATAGATATCGGGGATCGCGTTCTGTGCGGCGGGGACTGAGGCGACAAGCGCATCCCCGTCGTCTTGCGCCGAACTATCGGTGAGAACTCCCGATTCGATCAGAGCGGCGACGACAGCTTCACTGCCAGGGTCTTCGGAATCGTCCTCGACGACGTCTGGATCGTGGAGGGTGGAAGGATCAACGATCACCGCGGTTTGGATCGGCGCCGTGATGGCGGGATCGGGATTGGCAGCAAACTCAATCTCGTCCAAGGTGTGGTCAGCCTCGTCGAGTTCGTCGCTTTGACCGAGAGTAGATTGCTCGGCGATGGCGTCGCTGATCTCGATGAGAGTTTCTTCTTTCCGTGATTCGACGACAGGTGCTTCTGCGCCGTCAATCTCCGGAGTTTCGCTGAGAGGTTCCTCCTGTTGTAAGTTCAGAACAGGTTCATTCTCCGATGAAACATCGACCGGGGAAATGAGAGGGCTTCCTTGGACCACCACAGAATAAGAGGGGGTCCAGGGTCGAGGTACATCGGTCGCGGGGACCTATCAATGGTTTAGGTCACGCATTTATCCACTAAAAGAGAATCCACCTCGGTTTGATCATCTTCAGTTTCTGTAACGGTGACCGTCGGTTCAGGCGCGAGGGCAAGAACCGGGGCCATCTCCGCATCTGCATGGATGGATGGCGGTAAAGCAGGTAATTCGGCGATTTCTTCCTCGTCGGCGGCGGATATTCCGGGTCCTTGAGTTATCACGCTATAGGAGGGGGTCCACGGTGACTTTGGTCGTTCGATCTCGGATTCGGCAGCCGGTAATAGCGATCCACCCTTGAGGCAACGGTTCAACACTATAATCGGTTAAACAGAGAGAAAACCAAACATCTGTGGGGCCATCTGACGCGCTTGCCGTGTCAGCTTCGGTCGACGGTATATCGAGGGCGCCTGGTTTATCCGGTTTAATGAAGGAGCTGAAGAGAGGCGACTCAGCGACATCGTCATGGGGTTCGACGATGGAAGGTTCGGGCTTCTCGGGAAGTACAATCTCCTGGACGGACTCGTCTGAAAGCTTGAGAGGAACAGAAAGTGTCTCTGCGAAAGGCGATTCGGCCGGCGCATCCATCGTTTCCTCTTCCTGAGAGTCGCCCAGAAGATCGACAGTCACCTCGGATGAACCGGTGATGGGCTCAACCGAGCTAATCTCAGCGGGTACATCGAGAACGGCTGGCACTTCGACTGCATCAGAAGGATCCTGGGCAGGTGTTTCTTCCTCCTCCTGGATGGCGGGAGAGCTGGAAATGGGCGCTTCAATAACGGGAGCCGTGAAAGAAGATTCGGCCTCAAAAACGATGGGCTCCGATGGTATGCCGCCATCAACAGGAGCAAGCTCATCTGCCTGTGCCTGGTCTTCGTCGAGGATAGAAACCTCAATCGAAGTGGGAGGTTCGATTATTTCCTCCTCGAAGGTTCCATCCTCTGCGGCGGAATGGTCGATCAACCCCGCGCTCGGGCTGGCATCGCGTGTGATTGTGGACACGAGTTGCTCCTCGGACACTTGGGGCTCTGTCGAGCTTATTGTCGCGTCCACCGTTTCAAGTGCTTCTTCCGAGCCAGATGGCTCCACTAGAATTTCGGGCGCGATCGGCGCGACCTCGTTGAGGGTCTCCGTTGAGTCAGGAGACGCAGAGTCGCTCACAGGCGCTGCTTCGACGACCAGATCATCGGCCACGACCTCCGATGGGACTTCGGTTGCAACATCCTCCTCGAGTATGGGGTCTTCCTCGACTGCTGCTTGAGACGCCAAGTCAGTGACCGATGGAGGCTCGAGAGGCGCAGGGGTGGTTTCCGACGTCTTCTCCTCCACGGGCGCAACTTCGGAGGGAGCAGAAAGGGCTGGAGTTGGTTCCTCCGCTATCGCAGTCGACGCGACTTCGGGCGTCGTTTCTTCGTTGAGTATCGAGGCCTCTGCGTGCTCCTCATCAACGACACCATCTTCCGTAGCATGAGTGATGGGAGCAGTCTCGACTGGAGCATGGTCTGTAGTCTCTTGTTCGGCCGGATGGGCAGGGACGGGATCGCCCTCGGGCACTTCCTCGCCCGCGACTTCTACAGC